GGCCCGGGCCGGCAGTTCCTCCTCATTGTCCCAACATCCAAAGGCGCACGCGGCTTCCCCGCCTCGGGGGAAGCCTTTCCAGCCCCATCCTCAGCATCTGCCAAAGCCAATGGTCAGAAGCCTAGCTGAGCGGCGCCCTCAGCCCTCCAGCCAGGGCAGTTCGAGTGGGCTCCCCAGGGGGGGCTCCCAGGGGTCGGGGAGATTGGGCAGTGCTGCTGACCCGCAAGGACGATGTCGCCATCCCTCTCGCGTAGCTCCTTTCAAAGCTGAACTCCATCCATGCTCTCTGTTTATGGGTCCCTTGGGCAGCTCATGTAGCCCTGAAGTTAGGAGATCATCAACCTAGGATAAGATCAAGACGTTCAGCATCTGATTTCACCTTTCGGAAACTTTGGCAAGGCCTGCAAGCGAAGAGAGTGAACGCAGGGAAATGCAACTGGGGCCCTGCCGAGCGGGTAGGGGGTGCGGGCTCTTTTGATGAAAACGCACACATACAGTGGGAAGCTTGGACAGGCAGAAGACATCACTCCAGAGCTTAATTACAGACATTTGTGTTTTAAACCGTTTATTTTATTTGTGGGTCTGGTGTTTTTTTTCTGACAGGGTGGACTGATCAGCAGAAACTTCAACGGCTAGAACATGATTTCAACAACTTCTGGACAACGTTCAGAGTACAGTTTGGGGGTGTCGAGTTCCCTTGATTAGGTTGTAAAGCCATTTAATAGAGTCTAACTCTTTCCTGATTCTCTTTGTATTTTTCATCGCCCTCATTTCAGCCTCAGATGTGATGCTAAAGATACCTACCCCCAATTGCCTTGGTTTTTATCAAGGTCCGCAGGATGGCAGGAACACATCTCTGTCATTTTTATCAACTGATGCTGAGGAGAGCCTGAGTGGCAGGGCAAGTTCCTGGCGCAGACAGGCAGATGAGCAGCTTCTCCCAAACAGCAGGGCTCCCTGGTGGAATCCAGAGCCCTCCCTCCAGCCCCTGGCCCTGACCACTAGAAGTCTTTTGGACATGCCTTTGGGAGGGAACTTGTGACCTCCTTGACACTTCTTTCACTGCACACAGGCCCCACCTTGTAATTACTGGGTAAAGGTAAAATACAAGTCATGAAGAATCTAGAACCTCCTCAAAACAGAAGGCCTTCAGCACATCACAGAGTAGCATGCCTTATAATCTCGGCCTCTGTTTAGAAGTCTTTGTCTTTCCTGCCCTCAGCATTTTGTAAAGGGGGCGCTGTCCCCTTTATGGGTTTACCCACGTCTGTCTCAGACAGCTCCACGTGGGATGTGGCTCTGTCCCATTGCTTGCAAGGATCTGTTCTTGTCCCACCTCAGCCTGCTCTGAGCTTGGGAAATGGGCTCACTCATTCCCCATCTGGGATCACACTCCTCAAGCTGATAACTTGGTTCCTCTTCCCACGAGTGGATCATGAATCCAGTGCTCAGACCAGTAAAACACAAGACCCAGCACAATAACATTAGTGGGGGTTTACTGAACACCCTTCACGTGCCAGGCCCTATTTTAAACACTTTTACACATATTAAAGGATTCATCCCGGGTCGGGGGGTACAGCTCAAGTGTAGTGTGTATGCTTGGCATGTACTAGGTCCTGGGTTCAATCCTCAGTACCGCCATTAAAATAGATAAACAAATAAACAAACCTACTTACCTCCCCCCTCAAAATAAAAAATCAAAAACAAGAAAAAAAAAAAGCATTCATCCCTCACAGCCATCCTATGGAGTACATGCTATTAACACCCCCATTTTACAGTTGAAGTAACTGAGGCAGAGAAAGAGCACTGGACTTTGAGTTGGACAAATCAAGACCCTCATCAGTCGTGTAACTTTGGGCTAAGCCCTTAGGAGCAAGCTTCAGTATCCCTGTCTGTAAAATAGCCCAGTCCTCACTGGCAGTGATTCGTGAATCGAGACTCAGTTTTTGAAAAAAGAAGAGAGAACAGTAACAAGCTGCCTGGGGTCAGGAGGCAGGAGAGAGAGGGATGGAGGTAGTTCAGAGAAAATTCTAGATCAAAGAGACTTTCTGTGAATTGAGTTAGAGTCCTACTGTCTACAATGTAATCACATAGCGTTACAGTTTTGGAAGAGAGAACTTCAGCCAGTGCTCAGGGAGAAGGCGAGATAAGCAAACCTTTGGATCAGCCGCCTCTGGGGGGAAACCAGTCCTGCATTCCTCTCAGGTCCTTCCTTGGTGCCTCTGGACTCCCTTGCCAGAGATCTGGGCCAAGGAGAGGCCCGGAGGGAGAAGATGGCACAGACAAGAGGAAAAATTCAGAAATGAGTGCCGTCTAGAGAGCCATAAAAATACTTTTAACTTGAAGAAATGGTCTGGGGAGGGGTGGCACAGTGTGCATAGGGAAATGACATGCAAATACCTTGCATCCTTTGTGTAAATCGCCTCGAGGCATCCTATCCATTTCCACGCTGTGGATGCAGCCCTTTGGGAGAATCCCAGCAGAGAACCCAGCATTTAAAAGTCCTAGGGGTTTCCTCTAAGCCTCCAAGGGAGGCAGGGAGGGAAAAGCCACGTATTTCATCGGGTCCTAGCCCTTCTTCTCAACCTTGGGTCGAAGCGAGAAAGGAGAAGCGTGGGGGGAGGGGGAGCATAGGGACGAGGAATTTCTAGGTCAGCTAGTTCCTTTGAGCTTTTAATTTTGTTCATTTTGGCTGTCCCGGTTTCGGCTCAGATGTGCATTTTCCACCTTTATAACACATCCAGTCGTTTCAACGATACGCAGTTTCCTGTATCAGGAAGGAGGGAGAGCTTGCAGGCGAAGAGCTGGCAGACACTGCCCTGTATGTAGCACAGTTTTCCCAAGGCAGCAGGGTGAAGGGTGCCTCGGGGACCTGAAGGGGCAAAGGCAGGCCCCTTCTTGGCTGTTTGCTTGGCCCTTCTGCCTGGGCTAGAGGGGCGGGAAGGTTAGAGCCCTGGCTGTTCTGATTCAGTGCACTCTCTCCAAAAGAGAAGGTCCAGTCATCACACAAAGCCCTTGATCCTTTCAGTCCTTGGTCAGTGGCTTCAGTGGATTAAAGCTAAAACCACCAGCAGAGAATTTCACGTCCTGCTCCAGATCAGGGTGCTGGGGCCTGATGCTGACAGAGGGGCCTGATCTTAAATGTTTTGGGACCCAGCAAACGGTTCCTCTGGCAACCTCAGGCTCTCTGTTTAGGAAAATAACCTTGCCCACTAGGAAATCAGCAATCAGCCTTTCATATTTCGCTTCTTGCCAAGTGTGAATTCCTCATTGTTAATTTCCTGCTCAGCTGTGTGCGGCTAACAAAGGGAAACTGTTCAAACGCTGCAGACTTCAGTTGGGTTTGTAGCTTCTTAATCTACTTTTCAAGTTCAGACCAAAATGAAAGACAATGTTTACACTGCCCAGCATGGCCGGGCTTGGGTGTGGAGACTGAGGTGCCTGGGGTGTACCCTTTAAGTGGGTGATTACTCTCAGGCCTCACTGCCTCACCCTAGCTCCAGCCCTGCCGCCCAGGCATCTGGTAGTTGAAGAAAGGAGGGACCTGGGACATTAATCCCAGTCAAGGACTGGTTTAAAGAAAATAGGAGAGTTCATTTGACTTTGCTTTACTTTATTTTAGTTTGGTCCCAGATCGTTTCTCTCAAATACCAGCGCCTGGAAGCTTGTTTCCGTACATTGGCTTCTGCCTTCAGTTGCCTACTCTTCTTTTGGTTTGAGCTCAGTCCCACCTGGAGCTGCACATGCTGTGTGATCAAGTCAGTGTGAAAGAAGGTGCCACTAACATTTCAGCCCAGTGTAGATCAGCTGCCCCCTGTGCTCTTCTCAGGGAAATACTCCAGGCAGGCAAAAAGCCCAGCGTCTGTCTCCTGCTACCCAGAGAAACCAGAATGTGGAAGAGGCAGCGTGGTGACAGCTTCCACACCTCTCTGCTCAACTGCGGATACTTAGAAAATCAGAGGAAGAACACGAGAACAAATTCTCTTCCTTCTCCAGGATTTCTTAACGTGAGTCCTGGCTGGAGCATCAGATCTGGAAGAAGCCTAAACCCTGTCTAGTCCAGGGCCCCGCACCTGACGGATGAGGCAGCTGCAGCCTGGAGAGGGGAAGGGACTTGCCCAAGGCCAGGCCAGTGGCAGCCCGGCTCAGAACTCAGGAATCCCAGGCTCGGTGCACTGGGCCTCGTCGTGCTGTGGGAAACCGGTACTGCTGGTTTGGTTTCTTTCTTTCTTTCTTTCTTTCTTTTTTTTTTTTGCGGGACATGCTGTTTTCTAGAGCCAGTATAAAGGGCAAATCAATTCAAGGAACGAGCTCAGAAATCCAGCACAAACACATGTGTGTTCACCTGTTGTGATGATAGTACCACGATCCGCGATAAACCGTCCTCACGCAGAAGTTGTCTAATTACTGTGCTCAACTTGAGATAAGGAAGCCAGAGAGCTGCTCTCAGCTGGTGTCTCCCTTCGCCCTCCCTCTGCTCCTCTGAAGCCAGTGCTGAGGTTGGATAGGTCATTTCACTCCTCCCAGGCAGGGGAACCAAAGGGCAGATGAGAAAAGAGGAGTGAGCGAGAGCTGCCACCGAGGGTTAGATAGGATTCTCGGCAAGTGGGTTAAAAGTGTCAGAGACACAGTAATAGTGCGTCCCTTCTCAAGTCTGAGCTCCAGCCAATTCAGTGACTCCGTTTACAAAGACACATTGATTCCTGAGCTAATTGCGTGCTCATTTCAGCGACAACTACTATCCTCATCAGAGCACTTCAAAGGCTGTGTGTTAAGCCTGACACAGTAACAAGCAGAGATACTGCTTACTATTGTGGTTCTCAGGTAAACTATTGGAAGCCTCAGGTCTTTTTTCTACACCACGAAGTGTATATTTATTATATTGTTTCGTCGCATACTGTTATCTTTTATATTCCTAGATGCAATCTGTGTATGAAAAGGGGTCTGACTGTTTCACTAGCTTCCTCTCTGGTTTTCCTGCCTTTTGTTGCTCTCTCGTCTCATCCGTCCTGAAAATCAGGTTCACTTTCCTGATATGCAGCCATCATTCTGTTACTCTCTTGCCCATATACCTTTAGTGGCTCCCTATTACCTTGCACAAGGCAGATGTCTTATCCCTGAGCCCTCTCCTCTCTCTGCTTCCCAATAAACTCCTGCTTGTAGCTCGAAAAGAGCTGTCTTTCCTGCTTATGTGTTTGCTCCTGAAAAACCTTTCTGATTATGCCACCCACTGTGCCAAGGTCAATCCCACTCAGCTGAAATCTGACCTTTGCCATGAAGCTGCCTCTGAGAATCATGGCCCATATTTGTCCCTTCTTTCTCAGGAGTCTTACTGCATGAATAATTTTCTGTGTAACTCACTTGATACTCACAGGCAGGATATCCCCAGCTCTCAAAGGCAGAAAGCATATCAGGCTCTGGAATCAAACAGAACAATGTTCAAAACCCAGCTCGTAAAAGCAGATAAACAACAAGGACCTCCTGGGAAGCACAGGGAAGCATATTCAATTTCTTGCAATGAGCCGTAATGGAAAAGAAACAGAAATTTTAAAAAATATATGTATATATGTATGAATTGCTTTGCTGTGCACCTGAAAATAACACTGTAAATCAACTACACTTCAATAAAAAATAAGAATAAAAACCCCCAGCTCTTCTCTATTATGTCTGTATATCTTGGGAAGGTTCCTCAACCTTGCTGAGCCTTGGTTTCCGCCTCTGTAAATGAACATGAGAACAGCAACGTCCAGTTAGCCAAGCTCTGTGAAGCCCTAGCACAGTTCCTGGCACATAGCTTAGTAAGTACTTTTTTTAAATTAAAAATAACTGTTACAAAGCAGTTGGATTCTAAAAGAAAAGTTTTTAAAGCCGGAGTTCCAGGCCTCTGAGCCAGGATGTGCACTTGAGACCCTGCCTTCATCAGGTAATGGTGAAACTGAAGTTAGTGCCCCACTGGCTGAAGGCAGAGCCCAGGGGTTTGGCTCCCCTGAGACATCATCTTCCCACGCCCACTGGAACCCGGAATGCCGGGAACACACCTCCCCCGTACACTTATGTTGGATACTGAACCGCCAGAGGAAAAGGCAGCCTGTACCTGTTTCTTCTCCCCACAATGCAGCAGCCCCAGTCATGGCGCTGGAAGCAAATGCCACCCTTCAGGGCCCTCGAGCCCCTGCCATCTGGGTCGGCCCTCTGTGCACTGGGGATGTGTGTCTATGAACCACTCTTGTTAACTCTTCACTTATGTGTCATGTTCTCATTAGAAAGCCCATTGGGTTGGGGCCTGCTGTCCAGAACTGATCATTCGGAATTTTGCCAGCCAGTTGTTAAACTGTCGGTAGCTTGAAAATGGCTATAATGGGACTAGTTAAACCACAGAAACCATCAAAGGCTGCAAATCAGGGCTTCCCCCATTCCCCAGAGCCAGTTTCCCAGCACACTTCTGGTCTTAGGGTTTCTTCGAATCCGCCAGAAGGATTTGACAGTGCATTGTTTCCTACGTGTAGAGAATCATTAAATAAACAACTATTTAGGAGAGGGTGTAGCTCAACAGTAGACTGTGTGCTTAGCATGCCTGAGGTCCTGGGTTCAATTCCCAGTACCCCTGTTTAAAAAAGTAATAATAAAAAAATATAAAAATAAATAAACCTAATAGCCTCCCCGCCAAAAAAAGGAAAAAAGAAAGAAAGGAAAACAACTATTTAAATACTTATAAAGAATATTGTTTTTGAGCAACAGCTTCGTCCGAGCACTTTTGAACGTCTGATCTCATTTCATCTTCAAAGCAACCCATAAGTATTGTTCCCATGTCTTAGATGAAGAAACTGAGGCTCACTCAACCAGGGGAGCAGGAACCTGCCTGAGTTTCACCTGAGCCTAAAGCCCCAGGTCTTACCCACAGATTGCCTGCCCTGGCAGCCTCCATGGGGGAAAACCTGTCCCCGGGCCAGGACTGCTCATCACCAAGCCAGCGGTGGCACCTATGGAAAAGGGCAACACGTGGGGACCGCTCTCCTCCTCCCTTTAACCTCATCTCTCTCATTTAATCTGCTTTCCTTATCCCACCCGCTTTCTTCACATCATCTCCTTATCTGAATTAGGACCACTTTCCTACAAGCCCCGTGACCACCACCACCCTTCTCCTCTTGTCTGTGGAAGTCCTTCTTGGCCTTAAACTCCCCTATAGACACTTCAGTGAACCTCATGCTTTGTAACTGCCTCCAAGTCTGGACAGACACCCTGTTTCCTTGCACAATCCCGTCTGATGACTGGGCTCTGCACAGTCTGGTCATTGGGGCAGCTCTGGTCTGGAAGCTCCCCGAGGGCAGGTCACGGGATTTTCTGTGACTACTCTCAGGGTCCAGTGCATGATGGGCACAGATATCGCTGGTGACAAGCCGTGTTCTGGTGGTTTCCCAATTCTGTTGTGTACAACCCAGTGCTCTCATTCTCAGTAGGCACTTCCTTCCTCTTTATGCGGAACACTGCCTTGTGTTTATTAACAGCACCCCGCTTGCTCCAAAGAGTGATCTGTGTGCCGTGGACTCTTTGGGTCAGGAAATAGCACACGTTCATCATTCACCCTGTGGTGCCCTGTATTCCCAAAGGAGGAAGGCACCTGTCACTGCCAAACTCGGAAAAAACACCAGGGGCTTTACTTTAAGCAAATGCTTCTCCTCCAGAACTTTCTTTCCCTCTTTTTCCCCCCCCAGCATACCCTGGTTTCCTGTTTTCCTGAAAGTTTCCAAAACATCAAACACTATCTCATCAGAAACCCCAGACTTTCCCAACATTCCCCTGTTCTGCTGAGTCCTGGTCCATTTAAATTCCCTCTATGACTCTAGGATGTAGAGATAAGCAAGTGAAAACAGGTTCACCCTCACTGCCCAGCAGCCTGGTGCCTGTGGGGGTGCCGCACGGTGGTGGTTCGCTCAGGGCTGATGTTCACCAACCCGCTGTTCTCTACTTCAGGGTGTGCGGAGGATCAGCCTCTTCGGCCCCTGGAAATTAGAAGAGACCACGAGAGTCTCCTAGACAATGAACCGTGAGCAGAGCTGCATTTACTTGCCAGTACTCAACCCTCCAGCCCTTTCATTGCCTGCTGCCAGATAGGAAACCTTTTTGGCTTTGTGGTCCAAGTGGCAACTACTCAGCTCTGCTGTAGCAGGAAAGCAGTCACACCTGATGCACAAACGAATAAGCACAGCTGTGTTCCAATAAAACTTTATTTACAAAAACCGGAGACAGATGCAGGCTGCCAACTAGGAGCTATAAGACAGTGGAAGTTCCCACGGGCTGGATCGATCATTACATCACTGTCCAGAGGGCAGTCTTTTTTGGAGAGTCATCAAATGGCAGAGAACTTTTCTTGGGTGAGAATTAAGATGGTAGGGTTGTAGTTACATCAGCATTGCTTAGCCTAACCTGACTAATTTGAGGAGTCTCTGCACCAACTTGAGGACCTGTACTGTTTTTTGTGGATAAAGAAATGATGCTCATGCCCTTCCTCCCCCACTGCCCAGGGCAGGCCCACTCTGAGCCTTGCCTCTCCAGGCTCTGCACCTCCTCGACCCCGCTGTCTCCCAGCAGGAGCCCCATGGGCCTTGCTATGTACTTGTTTTCAAGATGCCTTGGTTTGCACTATTTTGTCTTCCCAAAATTCCCCTCCTTTTCCTTTCCATTGACCCAAATTCTTCCCAGCTCAGTTATTCCTCCTCCAGGAAGCCTTCCTGGACTGTCTCCTTGTGACCTAGTTTGGATCAGAGGTCATGAAAAAGAGAAAAAGAGAGCCAGCCGCGGGGCAGAGTGAAGAGAGGGACTGGGCCCAGCAGAAGGGTGAGTCACTTATGCTATGGAATCAGCCTCTCACACTCACCATCTCCATTGTCTGGAGAGACACACACGGGATTAAATGACAAAGAAAAGCGAGGGAGGGATTAACGCAAATTTGAGGATTCTGAGTCTTTCAGGGGAGGAAAGGAGGATACATTGGGGGGGTCATGTGGGGGTTTTCAAAGGCACTAGTCTTGGACTTCAGTTCTGTGTTGGGTACAGGGGTGATTGTTCATTATTCTTCAACCTGTGCAAAGGTTACACACAAACTCGGTGTATAACAGAGTTCTCAGGGGGGGAAAAGGCGTGTCAGGTCGGAAGGCTGGTTCCAGCCCGAAGTCAGTGGCTACCACAGCAACAGGCCTCCTGTGTTTTGGACACAAGGGCGGGGCTAGCCAGGCCCAGGCTGATCAATTCCTGTCCCATAGAGAGTGGCTGGGGCCTGAATCCAAGCAGACAATTGAGGACCCCTGAGGAGGATCCCCCCCACCCCAAGAATGCTGTCTCTCTGCCTTCCCTTTCTGTCCCCCTCGGCAAAAACCCACCTCTGCTCACCCTTTGGAAGGGTTGCCAGAGACTCACCTACCTGGCAGCTGGAGGTGGGGCCGCCTTATCACGGGGCCGGCAGGTACAGGACAGAGAGTCCAGGCCACCAGCTCTGCTTTTGGGAAATGCCATTAACTGTGCTGGGAGTGGTGTGGCCTTTGTCCCTTGTGGACATGTGGTATTTGGTGAAAATGTAATCTGGTGTAAACCAGCATGAACTAATCACCTGAGGACTGGCTTTGACCTTCCCACTACTTCCAACAGGACAGACAAGATTTTGTGTCTTTTCAATACCCCTAAGAGAGAAGATAAGGTGGATTCCAGGGCGTGGACAGGGCTAGAAAGTAGACTAATATTAAGAGCAGCAACTCTGGGAGCAAACACATGTACCTGGGTTCAGATCTCAGCTCCATCCTGAGCTGGCTGAGTGACTTTGGGCAAGTCACTTAACCTCTCTGACTCTGCTTTTCTTCTTTGTTGATTGGAGATATGCACTGCACAGTCCCCACCTCACTGAGTGCTTGTATTAAATAAGTTCATCCAAATAAAGAATAGCACAGAGCTGGGTTCAGAGTACATTCTCAATTGACATAAATTGATCACAGAGGAAAACTGGGATTTACCTGGAGGAGAAGTACTCCCACACTAAGCCCGCATCTTCTGGAAGGAAAAAGACTAGAGAAAAATGAATGCTTCCGAAGAGGCAAAATCTGCTGTACCCATCATATAGAAAAAGCATACATTTGCAGTGACAAGTAGTAGCAAAAAAAAAAAAAAAGGTGGTGTTAAACAAACAAGAGCTAGCAATAACATTAGAAGTCCACGAAAGGAGGAGGCAGCTCCCCTGCCTCTCAGTCCCCGAGCTCCCACCTCCCGGGCCTGACCTGCAGGAGTGCCTGGGCCCAGACTAACCCAGCTACCCAGGGGGCCTCGGTGCTGCTTGTCTGCTTTTGGTCTTTTTATCCTGGCCCTGCGTCCTCTCCCATTTCCCTCTCCTGCTCTCAACATCCTTCTACTTCTCCCGGCCATCTTGTCCCTTTGTCTTGGCATTTTGAAATTACAAGAAATAAGAATTTGAGGAAGGAGGGAGGGAGGGAGGGAGGAAGGAAGGAAGGAAGGGAGCAGGGAGTGGGGGCAGAAGGGTGGAAGGGAGAGAAGGAAGGGATGGGAGACAAGAAGAGAAAGGGGAAAGAAAATGGGCTTTTGGATCAACCAAACCTGTATCTAATCCCAGTGCTACCATAAATCAGGCAGGGGCTATGTGACCTTTAGTAGTTTCCTCACGCTCTCTGAACCTCAAGTCTATTGGGAGTTCCAAGTCAGAGAAGACGTGCAGAGGTGTACAAAGTTTTCATACCTGAGAGCCTTCAAGTTCCCTTTCTCAGCATTGTTGGCTCTGTTTGGGTTAGGGGAGTAAGAGGCAGAAAGGAGGGAAAAGGGACTAGAAATGGAAGGCAATGCAGAGACAGAGGTTGGGAATGTCAATTCTCCAATCCCTCCCCTATGATTGCCCAAGACAGCTGGTACCCCCTTTTCCCCATCTGGACCTCACTCCTTTCCAAGGATTCCCCCTGGAAGTCCCAGCACCCTTGGTAACTCTTGCTTGTGAGCCCCACTGAGGGGACAACCACAGTATCAAGGAAGGTAGTATGGTGTAATGGTTAACCACCAGGTTCTTGAACGACACGGGGCCAATGCCTCACTCCACCACTTATCACTGTGACCTTGGGTAAGCTCCTCCCCTCCTCTGTGCCTTAACCACCTTGCTCATGAACTGGAATTCTGGATCAATGTGAAGACTGAAATGAGTTAACAGACAGTAAGCTCAGGTGCCTGGCTCACAGGAAGGGCTTGGTAAATGGCAGCTGTTTGTTGCGGACCAGCTATTTATTGTTTTCTGTCTCTGCACCAGCTTAATAACTTGCATTCACAACGTCCCTGTTATCCGGGCCCCGAGGAAATACCAGCTAAGGCTGTTTCTCTTCTCAGTTGCTGTGTCATGGTTCGTTCTAGACCATTGAGGTAACGAGGATTTTGTTCCTTCCGAGGCAACTACTGTGTTTTATTTGTTATTAATGGGCATGTCTTTATTGCTGTTTTACCTGCTGTACGTTGTCCTCTCAGATTAAAATAATAATACCTTCAGTTAATAATACCTTGCACTTGGAGAACTGCTTTCATCCCAACAGCTCAAAGCCCTCTACAAACATGACCTCATTCATTCTCCCTGCGCTCCCTGGAGGGAGCCACTCTGTTTCCCAGCCTGAGAAGGGGAAGCCCCACCCCCATTCATCTCCGAACAGATTCTCAGAAGCCAAAGTATTGATTAAGCATTTCCACTTCTCATGGCCACACATCAGAGGCAAAGCTCTGCTGCTCTCTTTGCCCAGGTGACCTTATGCCCACAGACGATAAGCAGAGCGGGTCCCTCTGGCTTAGAGGACTTGTCTCCCGCGCCTCTCCCAGGTGCCCACGTCTGTGCCCTGCAAATGGTAAACAGGAAAGAAAGCTTCAGAATAAACTGCATTGATATCCAGGGAAAAAAAATAAGGTTGGCAATTGTGATGTTTTTCAGGACCTTGTCTTCCTTGAGAACTTCTTAGTAAAGATCTAAGAGCTCCTTGCAGCCTGGAATGCCTCTGCCCAGGTAGTGGCTACTACTCATGGCCCTGGTATGCTGGACACCTGTATGCACTTGTGAAAACTGGAGCCCCACAGTGACAGTACTTCCTTGTTCTGGGGCTGCTTGTGGCCCGGGCTCCTTGGCGATGGCAGCTGCAGGCTGCTCACTTTTGTTTTCACCTTGTAATTACTGGAAGGGAAGGGCTGCAAGCTGTATTTGATTCTCCAGCCTTACGCCAGGCCTTAGCGCATGCGCACTTGGGGGCGGCTAAGTGCAATTACGGCAAGAGACACGAGTTCGGGCAGGCAAAAAGCTGACTCCCGTCTGTTCAAAACAAACAAACAAAAAGACGAACTAAATGGGACAAACTCAGTGTAGTGC